AGGAAAGGCAGCGCGGGGCGGCGGGGACAGGAAGGAGGGGTCCTGAAGCCTTCGGGATCCCCCCTCCACCCTGTCCCCTTCGCTGGCAGCCACCCCTCGCTGCTTTCCCCAGCCTGGATCGGGCTCCTGGGAGTCCGATCTCGGCTAGGAAAGGCAGCGCGGGGCGGCGGGGACAGGGAGTAGGGGTCCCTTCGGGATCCCCCACCCACCCCGTCCCTGCCAGTTTTTAGTCCATTGGAACGCATTAACCAGGTTTTCATGCGTTTCAATGGGCTTTTTAATTTCGCTTTACGATGTTTCCGTATAGCGACGTTAATCCTGGAACGGATTAACGTCGCTATACGGGGCACCACTGTATTTTAATAAAACCAATGTAACAATTTTTCACTCCTAAGTCAGTATAAATAAATGCCCTCTTTCTCAGTCTGCAGGAAGGAGTTATGCAGAGTGAATTATTCTTTTTTGCTGTCTATGTGAGTCAATGATTGACTGAGAAGGAAGATTTTGCATATCTACTGCACATGCCTGGTTCCTCTGTCAGTGGTTTGTTCTGCCTTAGCCCAGGACACGTTTCTCTCACTTCTTTTCTGTTGAGCAGAACTTACTTTCACTCTTCATGTTATCCATTGTTGGAGTATATATTTATTAAATGTGCAAGTAGAACTGCTGGCACAAAGAAAGAAACACCTTCAGTGTTTAGGCATTGTTCTCCTCACTGATTTGTTGATACATTCCCCCATTCTTCTTTTAAAATTCTAAATGGAAGTGGGAGGGACCAGTTATTTTCTTCACTTTGTCCTTGTTTTCTTCCCTATTAGATCTCATTCCCTTTCCCTCATCCAGGAAATCAACTGCAAAAATTGCTAAATCCACCAAAGAGTCATACAAACCACGGAGATCACCTCTCAGGCTCCTCTCTCTTTACATTCATATGTGCTCCACCAGTTGCCCCCACAAAAATCTGCTCTTCCACTACTGGCTCGAATCCTTCAAGAAGCTAGACATCCAGCTTTTGTAAAATTCCCACATGTTCTTTACTGTCTGTGCCATTCAGAACTGTGGACAACTTGCATAAGGACAGCCACATACATATCTACTGCCACAAACACAGTGAAGGTTAAAATCAAGTCAAGGCAGTGCCCTCCAGTTTGATTTCATCCCAAAGATTTCCTCGAAATTGATAATGACTAATGGCACATTTGCAGTTTCAGACATTCATATGTACCCATATTTTGATATTATTGCTGCTGCCGCCGCTACTACTACTTCTTCTTTCTGCTTACCATGGCTCCTAGGGTAAATTACAATAAAACTAAAATAATCAAGAACAGAGCAAAAACATCCCTATTTGTTTCTTTCCCGCCAAATTTTCTAGGAAAGAAAGCCACAACTTCCATACTGATCAGGTGGATCAAGGCTAGTATTTTGCTGGACTGAAACATCTTACCTACTTAAACCATGAAACATGGGACTCACCACCAGGTCCTTTCAGCAACCTGTGCTGTGTCCTATACTGAGGTTTCTATTTTTCTCTTATACAGATCTGTTTTTATTTTTCCTGGTTTTGTGCTTGCAAAGGGACTGAGCATGTGTATTTTTATGTAAAGCTTTCCTTCTTAGTTTACCATTGTTTCACCTGAACCATAAAAGGGAATAATCCTAGATGTCTCCTTCCTCATGGACCATAATGGACCATCAGGGTAAATCTGCTACACACTATTCTTGTCTCTTGTGTAATTGTAGGCTCTGAGGAACATTTTACAATTACAAAACACATGGTATGTAGTAGTGGAAGTTTAATGAAGGAGGGGAGAATTTGGTATTCTTTTGGCTTCAGTTTTATTTGTCCAGTTGGCTCATTCACTAGTTTGTTATGAGAAACACTCTCTTGGCTTGTGTAGGGAAAATGTAATTTTACTTGTTTTTTCAGATGTAAGCCCTTCAAGTCCAACCTCAGGCAAAGTTGGAGGAGAAGTGAAATTGTCCATCTCCTATCGAAACAGCACTCTGTTTATCATGGTGATGCACATTAAAGATCTGGTAAGAATAAAACCGAATTTGCAAATTGGAAATTGTTTATAACACTTTCTCATTTTTTTATATCAATAACAAAAAGGAACTGGTACATCCATCAAAACTGTAAGGCAAGAAGAGACTTTGGTTCCAGGATGTAAAAATTGTAGTGTGCACTTTATTCCAAATTAAAAGCCTGACATGTTTTGGCTTAGCCTTTTCCACCTTCTTCAAAGGCATGAATATTGCATTTTGTTAGCTATATTTAGAGACACCTTTTGAATATTAGGTCTAAATTCAGTTCCTTATTCATTCAAAAGCCTGATGTGTTTTGTCAGAAAAGGCTAAGCTGAAATGTGTTGGGGTCTTAATCTGGAATAAAGTACACAGTATAATTTTTATATCCTGGGGCCAGTGTTCTTCTTTGTCAGACACTTGCAAGGATTAAAGGACTTAATTTAACTTAGAGCTCCAATAGTTTCTCTCTCTCTCTCTCTCTCTCTCTCTCTCTCTTCGGACGGTTCCATTTGGGTTTTTTTAAACAAAAGATGTGCTGCTGTTCTTAGGTTACAGATGATGGTGCAGACCCAAATCCATATGTGAAAACATACCTGCTTCCAGATGTACATAAAACATCTAAACGGAAGACCAAAATATCCCGAAAGACTAGAAATCCAACTTTCAATGAAATGGTAAGGAAGGGGGAGCATGGAAGACCATATTGCTACCCCACAAAAAATGATTTTTTACAATAATTGGTCTCTCTTTCTTCAACTGAAAAGGGCCCCTTCTTCCCTCTACTAGTGAAAAATATTTTTTAAAACTAATTAAAATAGAGGTTGAAGGGAATAGGGATACTAGGACCAATTTGGCAAAGCTGTCTCCAAGCTTATACAGAGCTTAAGAAAACTTCTTAAGCCCTTAAAAATGTGAGAAGTTTTCTTATACTATATTCTGTATGAGACTGAGAGCAACTTTGCCAGTTCAAAAAGAAAAAAAGAAAAAAAAGGGAAGGGTGCTGCAGGGTGGGGCGTAGACCTCTGTGGACTGCAGGCAGACTGCATGTTGCCTACCCTTGTTGTAAATTGAGTGCTTAATAACTTTGCCACATTGTATGAAAGGTTCATTCCTCAGTCGGGACCACATCTCACAATGCTCAGTTTGCAACTGTTCCCTCGCCCAAAGTGCTCTGAGCTGTTAAGGTTGTCTGTTGTACTTGGAGATGGTTAATTTGGATCACAGGAAATGATCCTCTTTCAATTCCCATCTGTCCCAGATCCCTTTCTTTGTAGTTACAGGGAGATATTTTTTTTAAAATGGGGAGACTGACTTCCATGCATAAATATACTGTACTCATAATCTATTCATTATATGGCAATGCATGAGTGAATTTTTTTCTGAAAAATATCTTCCAAGGAATGTATGTCAGTATGTAAAATAGCATACTGTATAAAAATCACAACTTACAGTGTCACGCCTCAACAGACTCACAATCTGCTTTGAGCACTCTTGCAGACTACACTTACATAACTGCATACTAACTGCGCACAGACTAAAAAGGAGTGGAAAGGAAACCTAAATAGAGAGGCGTGGCTCTCTTTGAAATCAGGCAAGGAAGGAACAATTGGTTGCTCCTGGATTGATTGACACTCAACCCTGAGCCAAAAATGGACCTCCCAGCCAGACCTCCTAAAGGCAGCATGCAATGTTGAAATAACTCCAACAATATTCATATTCAGTGTACCAAAGACCCTTAGTACCCCTTGGAAACCAGCTGTAGGTTCTCCTATCTCTCTAGAGCAGTTTTGAGAGTCCATGGGAAGTGGAGAATGAAGCACTTTTTGTCAGCAGAGGAACCTCGTTGATCCTGACCATAATACTTATTTTACCATATAAATTTTGCCCCTTACGTCAAGCATGTAAAATTATTGTCTTATTGCCCCCTCCTGCCCCTCCCTTATTTATGTGTAGGAAGATAGACAAATATACAGATATAGATTTTTGAGGTCTAGGGTTAGGGTCTAGGTCCATATATTCATAGTACAGATGGTCACAATGTATGTTGTGCTGTGTTGTCTGAAACTGTCAGCACAGGTGCCGCGTGGAGCCTCCCCCCATACCCAGGCTGACAGGCCCACTCACCATCCATCACATGCTGCCAGGGACCTTCTCTGGTGGTGTTCTAGTCCAGGCAGACACTCAGACTGCCCTTCCCTACCTCGTCCGGCAGCCAACCACTCACTGGCTGCACAGGGCAGATCCCCATTCCAACTCTTCATCAGAATGGTCAGCTGATGGAGGAGGTAGGGAAGGGCAGTCATGACAGCTTCATATAGTGTGGCACAACTTATGCCTTGCCCATCTCTAATTTATTGCTTACTGTAATGTCCCATAGCTTGATCAGATTTTTCTATTAATTTATTCAAGTGCATACAAATATTTCACACAATAATAATTTAGCCCTTGGCCCTTGGAGGTTAAAAATCCATGCAACTGGCTGCTGTTGTAACCCTGGGGTGCAGAATGAAGATGCACTCAAGCAGTCATAAATACTTGCCAGGTTCTTACAAATTACAACTTACCCTGTGTATGTGTGGAACATACATTTGTGTCAGTGTGTTGACACTGTCTTTGACCATCTTTCATCATTAAACTCTTGGCCTTTTAAATAACAGAGGGCAGTTCAAGAAGTGAGTGGAATTGCTTCTGAATGTTGTGTTGTTGTTTTAATAGCTTGTGTACAGTGGCTATAGCAAAGAGACTTTGAAGCAAAGGGAACTGCAGCTGAGTGTCCTCAGTGCTGAATCGCTACGTGAGAACTTCTTCCTGGGTGGTATCACTCTTCCCTTAAAGGATTTTAACTTGAACAAGGAGACTGTCAACTGGTACCGGCTTGCTGCTGTACCATATTTGTGAACCCGACAGCTTGCAAAAGCAAAAATGACAGAATTCAGTGATCTTGTGTTTGGTCACCTTTTCCTACTTGAAGATAAGACATACACTCTCGCATAAAGCACTGAAGCTCGCAGATTATGGTTGGACCAGCCTTCGCAAGATTTTAAATAGGACTTCTGGCATCCCATCTCTGCTAATGCTTCTATCCAAGCAGTGATGTAAATGAATTGTATAAATTGAAAACTTGTGGATAATCATATTCTAAACTATGCCTAGATGTTCCAAATGAAATCTGAAGGTTTTTTTTCATAAATTCAGTTCAGCCACATTTGAAGTGCTTGATTTGTTTTTCAACTCTGCTGTCATGAGAAACAGCACCATGTTGGGGAAAATCAAGGTTTAAAAAGACTGTTAGAAGGGAGGACTGAGTAGACAGCTGGAGAAAAGTGCTTATTGCATTTAGCTCTAAGACCTCTTTGAAGCTGTTTCAGAATGAGTGCCAATACTGGACATTATAAATAATGGTGCCTTATTTTTTCATTCACCTGCTACTTATACCTCGTATCTGATATTTAAAAGCATTTATCACTGCTAACAAGCTTTTTTAGCCAATCATTTAAAAAAGAATGTTTATTCAGCTTCCTCTATGTACTTCAAAATGTTTCACCTTGGATGCTTATCTGGCTTACTTTGACTCTTCCTGTATGTTCTTAAATAATAACTTCATGGATTGTATATATTATACAACATTCAAGTGATTTTTATGTCATGTTTGGCTACAGAGCACATACTTTTCTAGAAAGTAGATATTGTGGATTATGAATTATTTGCTAGGGATTTTGTGTTCAATTTCCAGGTCACATGCAACAGTCCCACACAAATCACTATGCCCATTAAGCTGAACAGGGATAACACATTTACTTTGAAGAGTAGATAGCTATAGTGTCGGTTGATGATTGAGAATATGTTGCACTATGGACATTGGGGGGAGGGGAAGAGATTGAGACACAGACAGCCTGAGCTAGATTAAAGTTACATAATTCCATGAGCACTAAGATTAATCCACCAAGCATCCAAATTTGCTTCAGTGGAAGCAAATTGACTTGAACTTGCTAAAATGGGTAGAAGTTGTCCTACACCAGCAATTACTAGATTATACCTTAAATCCACTGATTTAACGTTCTGACATTTTATATGTCTGGGACACTTGGGAATAGCTGTCTATAAATGTAATTTGCTAACTTCAATAAAAAATAAGATGATGTAGGAAGGGCATTTAAAAATTGCACAAAATGTTTAATGCTGAATTCCAAATATTTTGAATAAAGATGTCAGGAATACAGAGTTTTAGCTGCCCTTAAAATAATGCAATAATAGACAAGGATGTGGTAGATGATGACAATCGTTATTGCATAGCTAAATTAAAATGTCCTTCAAAGTATAAGGAATACCTTGCTGTCAAACACAGCACAACAAAGTGCAAGGGGAACATTGACATCACCTTCCTAAAATGTTCATGGTCCAACTGTATAGTAAAACCTTGGAATATTTCTCAGTGTTAAAACTGTCTTGTGGCCAATCGAAGCAATTTCCTTAGCTATAATATGTTCAGAATCTAAGTGATAGCCTATATAGCTAAATAGAATAAACTAATAAGATTGCATTTTCTGCTGACTTGGTGCTTTTTAAAATGCATTCCATTCCATTAAGAGAACCACAAGTCAATTTACACACAGAAGAGGCGGCTTCTGTTTTTGTCAAATGTTCCATTACCAGAAAGCAATATGTAGTGTTTTTGTTTTTTTGGTTGGTTACTAAAGCACAGTATTGTTACAGCACAACACCTTCAGTGATTTGCAGTTGCAGCTCTTGGCTAGATGTTGGTTAGAGTACGCCCTGGACTTTATGGCCGCATTTGCCAGTCTCCTAGATAAGCTCATGCCTGTGCCTTTACCTGCCTTCGCTACTTTTCAGATTAACTGCACAATGACTGAAGTTCCACAGGTAGATTCTTTTAAAACTTCCTTTAGTAATAACCATTTAAAACTTAAGAATGTTAATTTTGCATCTCCTTTGAGTTATTTATAGTGCAGTGATACACACATTGATTGCTGACCAAGTTTAGAAAACATGTTCGGTGCAATTAAAACTGACACACGTCACAGAGGAGGGAATAAATGAGATAAAAAGTTAACACTCTACTAATTAGAATTTTTAAAGTATGGTCTCAAAGCATTTTTATATGTTAATAATCAAATAGAATCTTATGCAACATATGTGGACTGCAGCTAGAAATAAATTTGTGTCTATGTTTATTTTGACACTTCGAGGAATACATTTTGCTGTAAGAAAAATCACTTCCACATTTTCTGTACTAAAATAACATGGCTATGACTTTGCACTGAATTTTTAAAATATTACTGCCTTTTTATGACTTACATATGTATATGAAAGCATGAGTGATCTTTGATATTTCTCTTTTTAAAATGGTATTAAAATCTTAGTATCTTGCCTTAAGCCTGACTGATCTTTCTAAGATACTATACAATGCAGCTTTCAGACGGAAGAAATCCCATTTCTGGTATTTACATAATATGGTCATAGTCTAATGCAGAGTTAAGTATGCTTAGGTCTGCTGGTATCAGTGGGCTTAGGTTTTCTATTTGACTGTAGTCTATGCATGTTATATGGAGGAAAATTATTTAGGCAATATTGTACCATTCTCATAATCCATAGGAATTTGTCCTTCTATGCTTTGTATTCTTATACTGTGACTAAAATTAAAAGTTTATACATTATGAAATGCATTGGGAGCAAATGTAGACATTTGCCTTTAATTGTCTATTTATCTGTAAGAACCAAATATTTCAGTTACATTACACTGATAGCTAATAAAAGATGTACAGTGTTTCTATCAGTATCATAGCCCATAATATATGGGTTAAATGTGACTCCATAACTGTCCAAACAATTATATTAAACACTATTCTAAAATACAGTAATTTGTTGCCTCTTTTCATTCAAATGTACTGTGATGTCTGTGCAGAAGTTAAAAACCAGAATGCTGATTATAGAAATGATGTTAGGTCTTTTAAATTTCATCAAAATTATTCCATTGTCCATTGGTGTAGCAAAGTTTAAGTTCTCTGTCTTTTGATATTTGTCCTCATACTTGCTCTAAAAGTGTTCCAAAACATGTCTCCTAGATGTGCTGCAGCTGACTGGAAATAATAGGATGCAGTCCAACACATCTGGAAGACTGCTATACATCCCAGACTCCTGATGATTAATTATGCTTTTTCCATCGAAAGCATTATTTCTACCTACTACCATGCTCTTCTGCCATGTACTTGATGCATTGTAGTGGAGAACTATTAGAAGTGCCCATAATTTGTGATACCGAGACTGAAGTCCTGTTCCTTTTCATGTAATATAAAGCTACACCAACATAAGTGTGACAAACATTGCACTCAGGCAATCCAAACTGCACAATCATGAAATTACCCATCCACCTCTGGCAGTGTACTTCTAGAAGAGAAGCTTGCTGTTTTAACTTGCTGTTTTGTGGTTAATCACTCCTGCTTTTACTTCTCCACTGACCTCAACCTAAAAGGCCAGGAACATCTCTTCATGCATTCTTGCTGTAACCTCCCCTTCCACAAACAACCCCAGAGGGTATCACCTTCCTGTCTCCTTGCATGCTGTGCTTACCTGCTTTCCAGTCTCAGAGATCCACCAGCACTGCCATCCTTCAAGCCCAAGTTCCATAGCTATCTCTTGTGGCAAAAAGAGGTGCAGGAAGAAAGATTTATAACCCGACACACAGCCCTCTCCCTATCACCACAGACTGCTGCTTGTAGGGCATAAGTTTGGGTGAGAATGTGCGCAGCGGCTAGGGCACCCATCCTTACCCAGCCTCCCTCTCTTCTAGCCATTGCCTAGGACAGGTCATAGCCATTGCCGTGAGGGTAAATGGGTTATGGCCCCAAGTCAGAAACCAAGGCTCCAAAGGGAGCACCCTTGCCTCTACTCCCACTGAAAGCACCCCTGCTTTTCTGTTTGCATGCCTGCAGAAGTGACCTGAAAACTATACAGTACTTTTATCCTGCTTCACTTTCCCTTCACCTTGCTACAGCTTCACATTGTGCACAGTCCAGCGCAACAGGAGTTCCTGAAATTCCAGTATTCAAATGTGCATTTTCACTTACATTTTAACGGTGCATATCTACCTATTTTGTCTATGAAACATGTAATGGGACAGTAATCCTTATACAAGCACATTTTCCCTCCTTGCTCTGGATCTGGGTACCGTTATTCAACACATACCCTTCTTGAGTAGCTTGGATAACATTAACTTAACAAAGCGTACGCTTGGATAACATTAACTTAACAAAGCGTACAGCTTTGCTCGCAGACGTTGGATGAGCTTATGGAAAGGAACCACAAGAATGTCTTGCTACTTTGCCTTTTCTTTAAAGGTTTAAAAAAAAAAAGGAAAATTGAAGCAAGTCCATTAAACATCTGAGTGTTTCTTAGCAACACAACAGGCTTAGGAAGGTCTGACTCTGATGGCAAGGTAGGATGACAGTTGAGACATACGCTCGGTTTCCAGGAACTGCACTTCATGCGCCCGGGCTTCCAGTGCCAGAGGCCGACTATTGGTTTGTCTGCTGGTGACCTTTTCAATGCCTTTTGCACATTTTTAAATATATATATAAATGTTTATATATTATAAATTATATCTATGTAATGGTTATAATAGTTGACATGAGTTGCTGTTATTTTGTGAACAGCGTGTTCCTTCCACCACCAGCTTCCTTTCAATTGCAAATTGCGTAGTCTGAAAAGACGAGTGTTTTGGATGTTTCTTTAAAAATTCCAAGAGCAAACAAGGGTCACTATTAGTCTATTCAACCGATGCAGCGGGGGCGGAAAATCGAGGCGGAGGAAGTCACGACAACTCTAATGAACGGAAGGCAAGGCAAGCCGCGACTTCCGTGCTCAGAGAAACAATCGGTTTTATAGTCTCGCTATTTCGGGGCTAAAGCAGGTTCGGGTTTACACGACTGTCGTCAAGCCGAAGCTTTAAAAATAAGCCACCTCTGCCTTTTTTTTATTGAGTAAATACAGCAACTAATAGGCTCCAAGGTATAACTAGCCGCTCACGCGTTATCGTGACAGTGAGCAGCAACCCACAACCTACACACAGTACGAGGATATGCAGACAAAACCAAAGCCGACTAACAAAAAACAAAAGGTTTCGTCGGGATACCCTGGCACGGGCCAATACGGCTGCTTCTCCGAAAACTCCAGCATAAAAGGTGGACACGCCTAAGAAAAACGCTCTTGTCAATCAGAGAAACGGCAAAACCCATCGAAGTCTCTCAGCCTCGGGGGCAAAAATGAGTCCCCCTGGTCAGCATCGAGCCCCAGTCGCTTAATGGGCGACCACCCTGGCAGGAACGCGACTCCTCGAGCCCTGCTTGCAACCCTTCCAAGAAGATGGAGGCCCACGGCTATTATATGAGCTCCTGATCGGCAGCAGGGGTCTTAGATCCAGGGACGAGGAAAGGGGAAATTGCACTCCAGGCCGCAATCAGGAAAAA